ACAAAGATTAAGTTGTCTTTTCTTCTAGCAAGTTGTCTTGCTACTATTCAGATTTGTCTAACAGCAGGTGAAAAGTGATTTTAAATTCTTTTTAAAAATCAGTTAATACTCATAATCAAAGGCTAAAGAGGAAAAGTTGGAAAAGTTCACAGAAATCTTTACCCTTGCGCATAAATGGGGAGACACTGTGATCCATCACAGTAGATGGAGCCATCCTATAATTTGTAACCGGATTGTCCTTCATAATTTCAAATGACGTGTTCTGTACAATCTTATCCACAATTGATTCTTCCAGGTCTTTTCCCAAAAAATGTATGATTTTCTTAATCTCACGCTTTGGATCCTGTGGAAAGTGGCAATGAAATGACATCAGTGTTTGTATGGCCCTCAGCTATTCCATTAGGAATTCCATGTCTATCTTCGCCAGGATTTTCTGTATAAAACCTCACAAAACAAAAGACATCTATTATCTTTGTGCAAGGCTAATTCACTCTAATCCAGGAAGGCACATAAATAACATTGTAAATATTTCTTCTATCACTTCAGCAAGAAATAACCTCAAGGATAGACTTATCCACTTACCTCTTTTATGTCTTCATAAAATAGGTATAGTATAGGATGTTCGTTCCTCTTATTCCACCATGTTTTCACATGGTCATACCAGGAACCAAAAGCAGCTAGATGTTAGAAAGAGATACATAGGTTTTGGCCAAAAGGTTGTGAATAATTGGCAATTCCTTTGTAATTAGCAGAGTTTAAGGTACAGTGGGGTCTTGACTTGAGAACTTAATCCGTATTGGAAGGCGGTTCTCAAGTCAAAAAGTCTGTAAGTCAAGTCTCCATTGACCTACAGTGCCTTGAAAACCGATTAATCCCGTAACAGGCCGTTTTTGTTCCATTTTGGTTTTTTTCTGGTCTGCAAGTCAAATCTCAGTCTGCAAGTCAAACCTAAATTTTGCGGCCAGAGAAGTCTGTAACTCAAAAAGTCTGTAAGTCAAGCCGTCTGTAAGTCAAGGGTCCACTGTATAAATAACAACTACTCGGAGAAAGCATAAGAGAATAGCTCAAGTATCAGCTGCCCCTGTTCACAGTAACTAGCAGCTTATATATTAAAAATCACTCCGGAGGTTTTTTGAGTAGGAAAAAGTATTTACTTACAGTTGCAACCAGTAGCTACAAACAGAAGAATAAAATGAAGGGAAAACTGAGTCTCCACCTTGGGGAAAAGATGTCCCCCATGCTTCCTATATGCTCAGAGGTCAGGAAAACAGATTGGAACTAAGAAAGGAAGCAATGCAAACATAAATAACAAATACTCAGAGAAAGCATAAGAGAATAAATAGCTCAAGTATCAGCTGCCCCTGTTCGCAGTAACTAGCAGTTTATATATTAAAAATCACTCCGGAGATTTTTTGAGTAGGAAAAAGTATTTACTTACAGTTGCAACCAGCAGCTACAAACAGAAGAATAAAATGAAGGAAAAACTGAGTCTCCGCCTTGGGGAAAAGATGTCCCCTATGCTTCCTACATGCTCAGAGGTCAGGAAAACGGATTGGAACTAAGAAAGGAAGCAATGCAAACACAACAGAAAGACGTGAGGTTATCTGGAAGTTGAGTAATGGCAACTGGACTTCTTTCGTATTACTGCATTTTTCTGTGTATAAAACTACAGTTTTTCCTAAAATAATTAGAGGGAAAATTGAGGGTTGTTTTATACACGGTAGTAAGGATGGGGGAAGGGATCAAAGCACTTTGATCCTTTCCCCCCCTCCACTTTTTGCAAAGAAAGTGGATGGGGAAAGCACTTTCCTTGCAAGAGGGTGGAGGGGGAAAGTGATTCCTTCTCTCCCCTCCACTTTCTTGAGAGGAAAGTGTTTTCCCTCTCCACTTTCTTTGCAAAAAGCTGCTTTCCCCCTCACAAAAAGAGGAGTGGCAAAGAAGCTTTTTGCAAAGAAACTGGAGAGGGAAAGCAAGAATCAAAGCGCTTTGAGCCCTGCCTTCCCCTTTCACTTTCTTGCAAAGAAAGAATTTTGGATTAGAAAAGTGGGGGGGTCTTATACATGGGGGCATCTTATACACAGAAAAATATGGTAGGTTGAAATGTTTTGCTACTCATCCAAGTAGCTTCTTCAGTCAGGGTTAGACTGAAGATGCTACTTGGATGAGTAGCGAAATGTTTCAACCTAATAAAAAAGTCCAATTGCCATGACTCAGCTTCCAGATCCTTTGTAAGTTCCATTGACGCAATGGGTCTACTCTAGTTGTGACTTACCTTAGCATGCATAGTAAGTCACAGTTATAATACAGAGGGGTTGAGTGACAAATTTCCCATTGATTTAATGCACTTACTCCCGTGTGATTGGCTAAACTATGCAACAGGATTTTGGCCAGTGTGATATGAAAAGATGATTATGGCTAAAAATCATTACAATTATAGTAGTACAAGGACCTAATGGCTAAGGTGCAAGTCAACAATGTGTATATTGTGAATATTGTGAATTTCGTTGGATGTGTATATACTTACAATGACAATAAATTATTATTATTATTATTATTATTATTATTATTATTATTATTATTATTATTATTATTATTATTATTATTATTATTATTATTATTAACAAGACCCTTGTTCAGACCTTACTTCAATAATAAAAATACAATGCCAGGTAATACAGAAATGATAATGCAGGTCTGGTCTACATTATAGCATTGTATAAAGATCACTGAGATAATATACAACAGATATTTTCAGTGAGGGATGAAAAATTATTAGTCCATAGGTCAGATGGAGTCATCTGAGTTTCCCACTGGCTTTCTGGTTTCTTCTGCTTTCATCTCCATTCAGTGATTGGACAGAGAAAGGACATTATTATCAAGACCCTTGTTCAGACCTTACTTCAATAATAAAAATACAATGCCAGGTAATACAGAAATGATAATGCAGGTCTGGTCTACATTATAGCATTGTATAAAGATCACTGAGATAATATACAACAGATATTTTCAGTGAGGGATGAAAAATTATTAGTCCATAGGTCAGATGGAGTCATCTGAGTTTCCCACTGGCTTTCTGGTTTCTTCTGCTTTCATCTCCATTCAGTGATTGGACAGAGAAAGGACATTTAAAGATATTTCTATTAACAGAATTTAAAATCTACCTGAGCTACGCTTTGCTTGCAGGTTGGCAAGCTGTGGCTCTTTACTGTACTTTGTAGGCCAGGAACTTTTTGCATGGAAGTGATCTGTGCTTTATATAGGCCAGAAGGCTTTTCCATTATGGCCTGCTCTGGAATAAGCATGAAGCTGAGAAAATTTTCAAATTGGTATGAACCAGATTTGCTTGTATGACACTTTATTTTGGCCCCACATATCCTGTGCTTCCTGATCATTAAACAGCCTCAGCTAATTTTTCTGCATGCTATCAGCAAATACATGACCACCTCACACATGGCAAATTTGTTTAAATCTAAGTGGAAAGAATGGCAGCCGAAGACTGAAATGATTGTAAAAATAGAACCCAATGTCATTGAGATTCATTGCACGTAGCATGGAAACTGTTGAGCCAATGATTCTGTATGCATATGTGCAATCTACACAGTCTGGACTCCTAGTCTAACACCTGGATGATACCACATTTAATACAAAAATAGAGTTTCAGCTTTGGCAATTCAGCCATTAATTAGGCTTTGCCTTCCCAATGGATCATTTTTAGTTGATGTGGGAATGGTTTATCTGTTCATTTTTCAGTTTTGTGAATTAAAACATATTTTTTTAAAAGTGCGAACTTCCTTCTAAAAAGCTGAATCTTTTTCAAGTCAAATTATACATAAAAGCCAGTTTCCTATTGACCATCTGCCAGCATAATTAGGATGGATTGTGCTGCTTGTGGTTACACAAGCAGTGATTTCCATGAAAAACCTCAGCTTCCATTTGCACAATGGCAATGCTTACAAAAGCAATGCAATTGTATTACTACCATGTCTTTTGCTCAGTAGTGGTTCAATAGTATACTGATCCATTTTAGGAATGTGTTTTACCCATTTCAGATCAGGACCCTTGTGTGAAGGATAGAGAAGACTTTTAAGACCTGGTTGTTGTCCCACACAGGCACTCCCGTTCACTCCACATAAAATATAGCTTCATTCATTGCCATCATGGGTGTTGGGCAATCAATGCTGTGCATAGCCAATTTGCTTCAAACTAGAAAAGATGTAAAAATTTTCTGAGCTAAATCTTGCAGAGAAAAAATATCCTTGGAAATGAATACAGTCAACCTTGCTGCTCTAAAATCATACATTTAAAGGGAAAATTACAGTTAACCAGATCTGCACATACCACCTTGAAGCATTGCTTCCATTCCCACTATTTCTCCAGATGGGGAAACTTTCCTCATTTACTATATTCTACTGTACTTGGGAGTTGACCTGGATTGCTATTCTGTTAAGAAAAAATCTTTTCAGTCTGCAATCCCATCATTTTGTGTTTAATTACAAAGTACTATTTAAGGAACAATCACAGTACATATTCCCTGAAAAAGTGAAATTTCTAAATATTGACAGTTGGAAAACAGCTGGACAAACTCACTCCATCCTGCCATGAATTTCTTCAGGTAGTTATCCCAGCTGCCAGGTTCTGGATGCAACTTGTTCATCAAGTCAAAATGGTAAAAGGAAACAGCAACATCTTTTGCATTGCGGGCTACGTATATCATCTTGATCGAAGGGGGGAAGAAGAAGAAAAAGTCCTCGTGAATAAATAGCCCACGTTTCGACAGCAGCAAAAAACATTTTAATGTAATGCAGTGGTTTTCAAAACGTTCATCTACCTTCATGTTTCCTCCCTGACAATATCATATACAATAAATCTAAATCCATGGCAACAGTTATTCTGTGAAATTCCCATTTGGATTAGTGTGTTCAACTAGGCATAGAGAATATCCAGGCAATTTTTTTTTTTGCATCATGTGTTGGGTTTCCCAAATTCTGTGATATGTGAGCACATGTCTGAAAATCTGAGTAGGCTTTTCAGAAACTAGAGATGGGGAGGAGACGACAACATTTTGGCCATAGCTCAGTTTTCACCTAAGAACTCTTAATTATGTGCATTCCATATTTTTTATATATATAAGTAAATACGCACTCCTGATTCTACACAAAATGAGATCAGTTAGCATTCGGTCTTAACGCTTGAACAACAAGGACTTGGGGGTGCTGTATCAAAGATTGTACAATACTGAGAGATGGGATCTATGTACTCTAGCAAATGGAACTTGCTCCCCTGTTGCATACAGTGTGTTTCTGGTATACAGAATACCTGCATCCTATCTAACAGCTCTCAGACCATCTCAGGTTTCTCAAACATTAATCATCATGGTCATTGCTTCCTGTCAAGTTGATTCCATGTTATGGTGACCCTTTCCAAGGTTTTCTAGGTACGTATAAGAGTACTCAGAAGTAGTATAGCCTTTCCTTCTTCTGAGGGAGCTTTGGGAATGTGCAGATTGCCTGAGTCTACACAGGCCCGTTTTCTCCTGTAAGGTAGTGGTCCCCAACCTTGGGAGAACGCGCAGATTGCCTGAGTCTACACAGGCCAGTTTTCTGGGCCTCCAGTTTTCTGGGCCTCCAGTTTTCTTGGGCCTCCAGATGGTCTTAGACTACAACTCCCAGAAGTCTTCACCACCAGCTCTGCTGGCCAGTATTTCTGGGAGTTGAAGTCCAAGAACAACTGAGGCTCAAGGTTGGGGACCACTGCTGTAAGGTATAGGTGACTCCTGACCTGTGGTTCCACAGTCAAGTACAGAACTCACTAACCTGTCCAGCCAGTCAAAATGTTTAAGGTCACTATTAGTTATGTTACTTATGGGTCATGGAGAAGAGTCTGAGTTGTGGTCCCAGGGTTTTATAATGTATCCAAAACTAATTTACCAGTCCCTCCTTCTGGTGATGCTTCAGGACTATGCAATTTGCCTGAAGCCCTGCAGGCAACATGGCAGATCATCCTATGAATCACACACATTCTGGGTGATCTCAGCTGGTCCCCCTCTCAGGAACCAGAATAGATTCAAACTCTGCAGCCAAATACTGCAACCAGTTGTTTTATGCTCACTAGACTCAATATTTTGCCCTCAGCAATATTCCAGCACAGAATCTAGGTAATTCTTTGTCAGTGAACATATTGCTTCTCTATGGCTTATTTCTTTATTTATATTTGCTTTTTTAAAAAGCCTTCTCTAGGAGGGACCCCACATGACAGGGTGGGTTTGATTTAAATCAAGTCGATTAAAATCACTAGTCAGTAAAATTCAATTTAAATCATGATTTTAAATGCAAAGACTCATTCTTGCTGGTAATTACAATCTTTAATATTTGCAACCAGATGAAGACTTCATATTTAGAATAATAATCTGTCAGATTAGTAAAACAGCTGTATCAGAACAAATTTTATTTTAATAGGTTAACCACTCATTTGGAGAACTCCTTAAATTGTTTTATTTAACCAAAACAATAACATTATATAGCATACATATTTTTGTATTTGCTTAAACATTTGGTGTGTTCATTGTTTGTACATGGATTTGTATATATAGCATACATATTTTTGTATTTCCTTAAACATTTGCTGTGTTCATTGTTTGTACATGGATTTGTAGAACACCAATGGGATTAAGGTCTTTTCCTGAACTTTGTTCATTTTATATCATTTTTACTGTGAAAAGGTGCATGTTACCTCAGCTTGGATAACTTGGATTACTGTAATTGAATATGTTTACCAAAAATGTAAATATTGCATAAATATACAGCCTCATAACTAAGGCTACATAACTAATTTCTATTTCATGCTGAATAATCTTTGATATTGTATCTTAAATAGATACAGTGGTGCCTCGCTTAACGGCAATAATCCATTCCAGGAAAATCACCGTTAAGCGAAAACATCGTAAAGCGAAATAAACCCATTGAAACCCCTTCAATGCATTCCAATGGGGTCAAATCTCACCGTCCAGTGAAGAGCCTCCATAGGGTAGCCGTTTTCGCTGCCTGTCTTGTGAGGAATCCGTCCCAGAAAACAACGGGGAGCCATTTTGTTTACCCGGCGGCCAATTTGAAACCACCAATCAGCTGTTTTAAAATCGTCATTTTGCGAAGAATCGGTTCCCGAAGCAGGGAACCAATCATCGCAAAGGGAAAAAAACCCATTTAGACCATTGTTTTGCGATCACAATTATGATCACAAAAAGACCGTCGTAATGCGGGTTCATCGTAATGCAGGGCAATCATAAAGCGAGGCCCGACTGTAACTATCTTTAGATAGTTTTTTTTTCAAAAAGCATTTCATTAAAATAAATTGGATTTAAATTTTAAAAAGATTAACATTTTCAAAATCTGATTTTTTAAAAGTTTTTTTAAAAAATCATTGATTTTAATCCACTCTGCCAGGTGGTTATCACACACCCCCAGTGTCCCCTGTTTGTTTTCCCACTCAGGTCCACCTGCGGACACAACTTGTTCTTTTTACCCTTTTACGCTGCCACTAGAGGGTATTACCCTCACTGTACCAATCATGAATCTCAGACTATATCTTTAGATAGGTTTTTTTCTCAAAAAGCATTTCATTAAAATAAATTGGATTTAAATTTTAAAAAGATTAACATTTTCAAAATCTGATTTTTAAATGTTTTTTTAAAAAATCATTGATTTTAATCCACTCTGCCAGGTGGTTATCACGCACCCCCAGTGTCCCCTGTTTGTTTTCCCACTCACAGGTCCACCTTCGGACACAACTTGTTCTTTTTACCCTTTTACGCTGCCACTAGAGGGTATTACCCTCACTGTACCAATCATGAATCTCAGACTATTGCTGCCAAATATAACAAGTTTGTGGTTTGTTAGGTAAATCACAGAAGAAAAATCATGGATGTTCTTTTATTATTCATTCAACAAATGTGGATTTGGTTACATGTAAACTTGCTTGTATTCCTTCACTTAAATCAGGGTCTCAATATATTCTTACTGTCTATGTATTTCTTATTACCTTTAACTTTTTTATTTTCTCTAACACACCAACTTTCCAATCTCTTGTCTAAACGCTTCACAATCTTCTCCCTCACTGACTCTCTGTCTCCCCCACTTCTGTTGACTCCGCCCCTCCTGTCCTGTCTTCGGCTCCTGCACTAGAGCTCTAAAATGACTGACAGGAGTGATGTGTGGGCAGTCCGCCACAGTGGTATACAAAAAAATTAAAGTCAAACAACTTAAGACTTAAAACTATAATATATACATATTTAAAACATTATTTTAAAACTATAAATTTAAAACTTCAAAATACCTCCACATCTGGATTGCCTCCTGGCTCCCTCAGAAACCTCTCCAAAGAGATACATTTTTCAGATGCCAGTGCAAAGGAAGGAGGGACTTTCTGTTGGGTGGTCTTGAGTCTTTATCTTATGCTGTCTTATACTAGAGCATTTATGGGGAGCTGAGAGACGGTGAAATTCACCCCACTTGTGTAGATTTCAGGGCCATCCTGATGCGTGGTTGCTTATATACCTTGTCAGACCAGAACTTACGAATTAATAACTGAGTTGCTAATTTCTCCTTGGATGAAGTCAGAATATGGTTCAGTTAGTGCAGTGGTTCTTAACGTGGGCGATAATGCCCCCCAGGGGGTGATTTCATTTTTCAGGGGGGCGGTAGAACAAAAAGGGGCGGTGTGGGGGCATTGGAGCAGAAGGGGGGCGGTAGAGGGCGCTGGAGCAAGCCAAACCTGTGAAGATGGCTGCAGCCTTTTTACAGTGTGCATGAATATATATTTTCCTCCCATTTTAATTTAGTTTCAGACTTTTTGTCTTGAAATTTTTAGTTCCTGCATTTGTTTATAAATAAATAAATAAATCATCACCGCGGGAAGGGGGGGCGATGATACCTTCCTCAATGGCTCAAGGGGACGTTTCTTTCAAAAAGGTTAAGAACCACTGAGTTAGTGGATCAAAATTGTTTTAATTTTTTTAAAAAATTAATATAATTGGTTTCATCTATACTTTAAATGGGTCATACGACCATAGTAATTGTAGTGTTTACCCTGCTCATGAATATTTATGTTGAGATTTGCATGCACTAACAGGAGTTGGTGAGGGCAGAGTTAAGTGGGGAAAAGAAGAAAAGGAGAGTGAGTGGAGATGAGAAGGAAGAAGGTTGTTTTAGTTGAGAGTTAACAACATTGACTGGACTTTTATCACCTGTAACAATAAACAATTTCTACTTGGTTCTTAAATGATACATTGCCCAGTCCTCCAGCATTAATAGTGAATAAAGTTGATGTAATCAAACCGGTGGTAGCTGAACGACACGTAGTGCGCACCTTTGCTTCGTGAAACAACCAAGGGTCACACAGGAACGTGACAGTAATTATTTCATCTGCTGTGATTCAAGCATATGGAATGTACTATTCAGTTGCATAAGCCCAACATGCCAGATGCCTTCAAGCATTAGTGCACTATAAGAGACAGCGATTCACAGCCCTTAGGCTTCATTCTACATGATGTTACTCCTTGGTCCCCAATTGTCAATTCCAGAAGGTAAGGAAGGACATTTAGGCAATTTATGAGAGTTGGGAGGAGGTTCGGGAACATAGTCTGGCCACACACACACACACACACACACACACACCTTTCTTGTCAAAGTGACTCTCAAATAAAACTGATTGCTGACCTGTTGTCTTGCTTAATAAGTCTCCAGAAACTTTACCTTGCAGCCATTTTCCCAGAAGCTCTTGGGAAGGAGATCCACAGTAAGGTGGGTCTTCACCACTCGAGGAGGTGGTACCTGAGCTAATTGTTCTGTGCCTAAGGAGTGAAATTTGTATTTGAGGTCACGGCATATGGACAACATGGTTATTGTCAATACACAAGCAACAGGGTTTGAACTGGCAACCTAGGAAATGATAGACAGGGAATCTTCTTGAGTGTCATTATTGTCCAGCTTTGTTGAAGTGAGGCAACTGCAAGAAGTTCTGTGCTGCATCACTCAAGTAGTTCCCCTTGCGTCAGTGGGCCAGGGCAGCTCAGAACACAATACAGTGGTGCCTCGCTTGACGACAATAATCTGTTCCAGCAAAATCACTGTACAACGAAATCGTCATCAAGCGAAATAAAAAAACCATTGGAATGCATTGAAAACCATTCAGTGTGTTCCAATGGGCGAAATAACTCACCGTCCAGCGATGATCCTCCATAGGGCGGCCATTTTCTGTTCCCTGTATAGCGAGGAATCCATGCTGAAAACAGCGGGGAGCCACTTTGTACAGCCGGTGGCCATTTTGAGAGCCGCTGATCAGCTGTTTGAAAGTCATCATTTAGCAAAGAATCAGTTCCCAAAGCAGGGAACTGATCGTTGTTAGGTGAAAAAAACCCATTTAAACATCATTTTGCTATTGCAAAAGCGATCGCAAAAACATCGTTGTTAAGTGATTTCATCGTGGAGCGGGGTAATCATTAAGCGGGGCACCACTGTATTCATAAGCCCCTTAAAAGCTTTTATTAAATTTTCCTTGTTGGTAGAGGCTCTGTTCTTTTTGACTGTTTCCAGACAGCTGGGTCTGACATTCATCTTACCCATTTAAATATCTCATCCATTTGCTCTCCACTAGTTCATAACTAAATTATGCACTGTTGGTGTGCACAATTGTCTGCTCCATCACTTCATAATATCTGTAGTAATGGATGCTTTACCATCTCTTGCAGTGAAACATCTAGAGGGCCACACTTGCTCTCGACCTGTGCTAAAAGTGCCTTTAAAGATAGAGATAAGACCACTTTCACTGACGTCCAATTCGGTACAAAATTCCTTGGTCACAGTTGTTAGTAATCACTGTTCTACAATGTAGGCAGTGCTTGAGGTGAGCCGAGGTGGGACGCCGTCTTTTTAGGCAGGTCTAAGTCAGGTTTAACCACACTACTACTTTTTCTCCCCATTTCAGTTATTAGGTGGATGCAGAGAGAAAGCCCTCCAAAAACAACCTCTGATCAAAATACACAAAATAGTCAAACTTATGCAAGAACAAAAATCGCTCATGACCCAGATTAGGGAAGCATAGAGAGACATTGATCCTTAAATTGGTTGGTTGGTTGGTTTCATTTCAAGGCCACCTTTCTCCCAATGAGGGGACCCAAGTTGATTCCTAGTTACAGGACCCAAAGATTGCCAGCAATCAAACCAAGGAGGCTGAAAGATGATCTGCCAGATGAAACCTCTTGGATCTGCACCTTCCTAATTTTTACCTGCTCACCCTACGTCTCTGAAATGCAAGCTTTCTTTGTACCTGCAGGCATCTTGCCAGGCACTGCAAATTCCAACATAGGCACTTTGTTGAAGATTGCATCCCGTTTGCATTTTTCAGAGTCACCCTCGTGCAGAATCATGTCCACTATTTCACAGACCCATGTAGTGCCTGGAAATGAATACACAAAAATGACAGCCATGTTGGCTGGATATTCATCTAGATCCAATAAAGCTTGGAATGAGAAAGGAACAGGTTTCAGTGAGCTGTGAGGGGAGGCACAGAGAAGAATTATAGGAATTTTGGAACAGAATGAACATGAAGTTTGAAAACAGATAGTAGGAGGTCCAAAACTAAAGGGTAGCGGGAATTGCAGAGAAGCACATGATAGCGTGTGCTCAGGTCTAATTTCACAGCTATAAGGTTCTACCCAAAACAGGTAGCTGGTAACGTGATCACAGCTCTAATAATGGGTAATTTATACCAGGGGTCCCCAACCTTTTTCACCCTGCGGACTGGCTGCGGAAGGGCACACACCCCGCGCTCATGCGCATGTGCAAATGAGTGCTCTCACAAGCACACTCATGCACATGCACAAACGGCGGTGCTTGTGCGGGCATGTGTGCTTGTGCACATGTGCAAATGGTGGTGCTTGTGCAGGTGGTCATGCACATGCGCAGATGGTGGCACAGCACTCACATGGGCACGCTGGAGCACACATGCAGGCGCAAACAGGCTTTGCGGGGGTGAATGCATGCAGGGGGTGGGAGGTCTGTCTTTGCGGCCCGGTCCAGCTCAGGCCACGGTCCAGCACCGGGCTGTGGACGAAAGTTTGGGGACCTCTGATTTATACCACACAGTTTTGATTGCAAGTACAAGCAAAGCAGTTAAAAATGAATTTGGATGTATCTTCTCATTGTCATCCTAGGAGATTTTGGACATAATTTGCCTTGGCTCCTGACACTGACCAAAGTCCAGCTGAACCAAAGTCCAGCTGAAATGCATGCGGGACTTCCTCTTCACCGATGATGCAGCTGTTGTTGCCCACTCTGCTGAAGACCTCCAACAATTCATGAATTGCTTTAGCAAGGCCTGCCAAGACTTTAGACTAACAATCAGCCTGAAGAAAACACAAAGGCATAGACTCACATCCCTCTATTACCATCTCCACACAAGAATTGGAGGTTATTCATGACTTTGTTTCCTTGGCTCAACGATCTCTGACACTCACTCCCTAGATGTTGAGCTGGATAAATGCATTAGCAAAGCAGCTACCACATTCTCTAGACTCACAAAGAGAGTATGGCTTAATAAGAAGCTGACGGCATAAACCAAGATCCAGGTCTACAGAACCTGTGTCCTGAGCACACTCCTGTACTGCAGTGAGTCCTGGACCCTTCGTACACAGCAGGAGAGGAAGTTGAACACCTTCCATATGCATTGTCTCCAACGCATTTTTGGTACCAGCTGGCAGGACAAAGTTCCAAACCAAGTAGTCCTAGAACGAGCTGGAATTTTTAGCATGTATACATTACTGAAACAGCAACATCTACATTGGCTTGGGCATGTCATGAGAATGGCTGATGGTCAGATTCCAAAAGGTCTCCTGTATGAAGAATTAGTGCAGGAAAATCGCCCCAGAGGGAGACCACAGCTGCAATACAAGGATATCTGCAAGCGGGATCTGAAGGCCTTAGGAATGGACCTCAACAGATGGGAAACCTTGACATTTGAGCGTTCAGCCTGGAGGCAGGAGCTGCATCATGGCCTCTCCCATTTTGAAGAGACCCTTGTCCAGCAGGCCGAGGCAAAGAAGAAGTCCCAAAACAAGCAAAATCAAGGAGCTGGACAGGGTACAGATTGTATTTGTCCTCAGTGTGGAAGGGATTGTCACTCTTGAATTGGCCTTCTCAGCCACACTAGATGCTGTTCCAAGTCCTCCATACAGAGTATGTTACCATAGTCTCTCGAGACTGAAGAATGCCTAATCTAAAATCCTGGCCATGAGAACTTACCAGATTTTGGAAATGTAGATATCACAATATCATCAGGCCTACTCTGGAAATTGTCAATCCTGTCCCAATTAAAAGAGAACGCACAGACAATAGGAACACCTCGGACCATCTGCCAGTCCTTCCGAAGGTAATCATCTGGGGTAGCCATCTTTGGGGAAATGGCAGACAATATAATCAAAATAAGAGAATACTGATTGCAAGATTATCCATTACAGACATTTAGTTATATTGCTGAATAAAAGAAGGAAACTGTATGGAGCTGATAACATTCACTGTTTTGATGAGTTTGCAACCCAGAATAAGGTTTATTGATGAGTTTACAACCTAGAATATTTCTTAAAAATAACAGTATTGAAGACTGTGCCACCAAATAGAGAAACCTATACAGAGTTCATTTTCTACTTCCTTTTCTTTCCAATGAGTTTACAAAAGAAGATAAAATCTTTATAGGAGTGTCTGAGTTCTACATCTTCTACTAACTTCAGAGCTCACATTTTACAGTGTATTTGTCCCACACATACACATAGTAAAAACACATATATTTCTTTAGAAGACCAGAATTTCATTAGGCAATGCATTTCAAAGCTATTGTAAACGCTCTAAAATCAATGTATAAACCCTACTAGTGAATGTGTGCCTCTGTTTGCCTAGGTCTAGGGTGGTGCTCAGTTGACAACAAATATTGTCACCTGACAAGTGTAGTTAAATATTGTTATTCTACATACCTAAGAAGTCATTGTTCTTCTGGAAGGCTATTTCTGGTATTGCAGCTTGAAGGGTCCTGTGCTAGCAATGGCAGCAGTGACAATATCTACAGAAGTTGAGATCACATTTGCACCCACTTTTTCTATGATTCCAGCCACAAATTAAGCATATGTTCTTATAGTGTCCATGTTTGGAACTGTTGATATATTTGAGCAGGAAGGGAAGGCAAGAATTGCCCAAGAGAAAACCAGAGATAAAAATGGACAAGCAGCAGCAGAATGATCGATAATGCTTCAAAAATTTACTTTTTTTCTGGACTGCAACTCTCAGAATGTTCTGGTGGCCAACCAAAATAGCTAGGGGATTGTGGGAACTCAGTACAAAAACCTTCAAGTTTTGAGATAGTTACAGCTACTCCTTAAAATTCCCAAAAGTCTGCTGTCTACAGTATAGCGCAGTGAGTTGAGTAACTGGCTAGGAAGCCAGAAGTTAGGAGTTTGATTTCCTGCTGTGTCTCCCAAAAGAAGAACCAGCCCATATAGCCTTGGGCAAGATGATTAGTCCAAGAGCATCTCAGAAGTGAATGGTAAACCACTTCTGAGTCTTTAGTCACATGCGCAACCCAGCACATATGAATGCATGTAACTAACCTAAAGCTGACAACTTTTTGACTACAAATCACAAGCTGGGAGGGAACTAGAAGAGTAGCAGTTCAAAAATATAACTTTTCCAGCTTCTGATCTAACCAGTCCCTATAACTATGGTCTTTGGTGATGAGAGAAATGCTATTTGATATTATTAATATTATTGAAATTATTAATAATTTGAAATTATTAATATTATTAAGAAAGATACAAGATCCCCCAATACATGATTTTAACAGCACAGCTGGTGCTGAAGGTTTTTGGGAATTATAATCACTAAGCTACTCAAGATTGGGAACCACTGCATCTCACCATACTGGGTACTTTGTATTGGTCCCGCTAAACTTTGAGAAAAGTTAGTGAGGCGGGTAACAGTTGTTGGATGAGGAATGGGAGGGCCACGAAATGAGCGTGTTGGCAGCGACGGAGGAACAGAGGTGTCTCAGAAAGTTGTGAGGTAATACCAAGGGATGTGGTTCTTCTGCAACTGCGATCTCCCCCGACGTTATGGCAGATCGTGATGGGGTTCGCGTATTATGCCTGTCGTCTGTTTTGACTTAAGAAGGATATGAGGGGGGTGGTTCTCTGGAACATCCTGCCCATCGCAAAGAGGCACTGCAAGTGGGGGCAAATTGAGGCTGTTCCGAATTTCCTGGACTGCATCTCGCATCAGCTTAGCTTGCAGAATCCATCGTGAGGAATGCTGGGAAATGAAGTCCAAGAACAGCGGGAGACCCGCCTTTTCCCCAACCCAGAATAGAAGAAACTTGCAGAGGTAGGTAGGTGTGTGTGTGTGTGTGTGTGTGTGTGTGGCAGGCAAGCAAAAGTGAAACTGAATTAAGGGGGGGGGGGGGGCTTTTTAAGGTGCTGTCTAGGTTTGTCATCGCTTTCCTCCCAAGAGAGAGAGAGAGAGAGAAGGAGCTGTCACCCGCTTGGTCATTTAATTCCACTAATTAGTGTTTTTACTGATCTCTCAAAACACGACTTCTCCAAGTCCAAGTAGGCAAACCAGCAATTTAACTTTCCGATCTAGCTAGCTACTTATTTCTTAGCTTGCGTCGCATTTTTAAAAACCCTCTAGCTCCGTTCAGATGAGGCGCCCTTGCACAGGGACTGTTGGGGGGAAATAATTTTGAGAGTTTCGTTTGATACATCATTATGATTAATAGGGTAGGAGCTCCGAGGCTTTCGTTAGCGTAAGCCCGCCAGCAAATATGGGACATTGTCCCGTCCCCAGCCTTCGACAAAGCAGAGAGAGAGAGAGAGAGAGAGAGAGAGAGAGAGAGAGAGAGAGAGAGAGAGAGAGACTCTTCGGGTATTCAGGAGGAGGAGGAGGCGTTTCCACCGCTCTCCAGCTGCCAACCCCCAAAGCGGTGGCCTCTCTCATCCAAGTGTGGATGACGGGAGATAGCAAACTACAAAGCAAGATGGTTTCGCTATATGGAAAGTCCACTTCAATTTTGTGGGACAAGCAGTTTGTTATTGGTAGCTCTGGCCCGACAGGGAGACAGGTTGACGGAAAACAGGAAGTCAGCTTCTTAAAAATGAACCCACACAAATCACAAGACACACTCGAACTGTCTCTCTCTCTCCCCCCCATTTTAGAGCACGAGCTATCACTGGCAAAGCCTGCAGGCTTCACAATTCCCCCATCAGGAACTGACCTAGAATTTAAGAGTGGAAGCCACAGCTCTATTCTTTGAGAATCGGTGGACGGGCTGTAACTCTGGAGATTTCATAAGAAGAAAAGCAAGCCCTCATTAAATTATAGCGGAGATACAGTCTACTGAAATTTGCAGGCATGGACATGCCTTCGCTCTTTACTTCGGTGGACAGGCTGTAACTCTGGAGATTTCATAAGGAGGAAAGCAAACCCTCATTAAATTATAACAGAGATACAGTCTACTGAAATTTACAGGCATGGACATGCCTTCGCTCTTTACTTTAAATTTCTGCAAATTATACAAGTCAGGGAATGTCTCGTTCCAAAATGAAACATTGGGTTCCCCCCCCCCCAACAGATAGGGTCACTGTCAACAGAAGCACAGAAAGAAAAAGGCTACAGATTTGACCAATTGTTGCTGAGACCAAGCCACCAAGTTTCTAAAAAGAATACCAGTTATATGAAGAGACAAAAGGAAACCGAGGCTTACCTTTCTTCTGCTCCCGTTGCTTTTTGTGGGGAAATGGACAGTTGCCAAGAAAACTGTATGGCTTTGTCAGGGATTTAAAGAACTGATTGGGGAGGTATTCCCAGCCAGTGCCAGAAAATAAACCCTCAGAAACACAAACCTTGAGGAAATCAAAGTTCGCAGGGTTGTCTTGATTGTGTGCCTACAGGAGGAGGAGCCGGGCTGCGAGCCAGCAAGCAAAGAATGTGTGCTGAACAGAATGACTTCGAAATAAATGGAGTTGTTTTTGTTTTTAAGCAGAAGAAAATTAAACGGGATTGAAGGGGAGCAGTGGTTTCCTTTATTGCTGTTTTCATCCTTATGGTTAGGATTTTTTTCAAACAGCATTGGGGAAAATATATATTTTCCTCCTGGATCTTAAAGCACCAGCTTCAACAGCGTATGCTTATGTATTTTTGTACAGTTCTTGTCCTGGCCTTTATCTCAGGGTAGGGTTCCCACATTCACTACTGGTGTGTTTTAACAGCCAAATTAAATTTGATGTGGTATAGAAATGTATATCATCTATCTATCTATCTATCTATCTATCTATCTATCTATCTATCTATCTATCTATCTATCTATCTATCTATCTATCTATCTATCTATCTATCTATCTATCTATCTATCTATCTATCTATCTATCTATCGGATGGCCTTAGGTACTCTAGCACCCCAGGCAGAAAATACATACCCAGGAGCAAAAGCTTCCCTCACTTTATTCCAGTATGAAAAAGCATACAGGTGGGGCCCCATGAAAAACAATCTTGATCAGAAGAAATCTGCTGGATTCCCCAATAATAGAGTTGCTGATTTTTCATTAGTAACTGTTTGCTTCCATCCTGTGAAAGGTTGCTTGCTAACTTCTGTTAAGAGCTCAAGAGGAGACCATTGTGGCTTTTTGTTTGTTCATTTGTTTGGCCTGATAACTGAGAATGTCATTTGCTGATTTTCTTACTCTATGAATTAACATAGATGAAGGTTGGATGTCTGTCTGCCAGCTGCGCAGTTACTGCTTTGTCAAGGGGTTGGACTCTGTGATCTTTATTACCTCTTCAACCTCTACAACTCTATGATTGTGTGAAAGCTCAGGGCATGCACGCTGGTAGTAGAAGAGCCATTTCTTTAAACTGGTTCTGCCCAAATAAACGATTCTAATGATACTGGACAGGAGGCTAAGACTGTCATGAACTGAGAGGGTGAGTAAAGACCAAGAAGTTATAAAATTCAGAAAACGCAGAAACTTAAAACACTTTCACCACATATTGAGAATGAAATATTCACAATGTTACCACTGATCATTCAAGATAATATTAATGGAAAAGGTAATTATGAGCAAGGATAGCGCCATCCATTCCATCGGAGGAGGGGAAAAGGAATGGAAGTTTAGGAGTGACAGTTCCCTCAGAGGCAGTTGGTGTGGGTTCCTTAAAGGGGGCCAAGGATAAAAGAGACTTTGAATGGCAAGTGCAGGAGATGGTGAAGAGGCAAGGGAATACATGGAATCAGAGGAACATGCAAGGTGGGAAGAATAAATGGAATACACCACCATGCCCTTGTTGCCGTTATCCCTTGGAAATGAGAATACATGGAATCGGAGGAACATGCAAGGTGGGAAGAATACATGGGATACACCACCATGCCCTTGTTGCCGTTATCAACAGGGACGATGGTGAATGGCGAACAGCCAGGAGATCAACTGGGACCATGGAACATTAGTTATGAGAACCCATTTGTTAAAGAAGAGGAGTGAGACCATGTTTGGTTTGATGCAAACAGTTTTATTGATGTTCCCACAATAAATGTTAATGCGTTACAGTTTGAATTTGTGTCCATGTCTGAAGAAATAAAATTTAAGGAGGAAGGGAGGAATCATCTGTACCGACAGTTGTTCAGATGAAGACGATTTCTTGGATATGTTTTTCGATTTGGTTGTTTCTGATTTAGAAACAGACTTAGAAGTTGGTGTGGAGTGGGCAGTTGAGGTGGATGATTTAGATTTGACCAGTTTTTGCTTGGGAGATTGAACTGGAGAGGTGACAGCCGACGGAGCCAGTAACTGTGCAGGCTGGGAACTTTCCATCTTGGCTGGAGGGCAAAGGGATTGGTCCCAGAGGAAAGACCTGAGTCTCTGCTGACGGAGCTTTATCACTTGTTTTGTGAAGTCTTTACAATGAGAGCAACCAGACGGTAGATGAGACTCTCCCAAACAAAACAAGCAGGGCTTAGGGCCGTCAGAGACTGGGAGCTTATACGTGCAGGAAATGCACTTTTTGAATGGACCCGTAGGGGCCGTAAAAGGTGGGAAGCAAAATAAGGGAAGGGCGAGAATAACTGGGGGGGGGGAGGAACGGGACGGTAAGTCCAACAGAAACAAAGAACAATTCAATATATAACTTTTTAAAAAAAGAATCAAGTAGATAATCAAAGGGGACAAATACGGACAATTAGTGCTAACAATCCTTTCTTTCTATTTCAGATTGAACCAGTTCCAGTAGGAGAGGAAGGAGAAGGGGAGTTACAGTGCTGACCATGAAAGTCACTGAATTATCTGGGGCCAGTTATTCTCTCATAGTATGACCCACCTCTCAGGCCTGCTAGGAGGATAATCAGGAGAGAGTCATTTATGCCATCTTGAGCTCATTGGAGGAAAGACAGGAGAGAAATGTAGCTAAATGCATTTAATAAGTATGAAGCCTTTTCAGACAAGGTGCCATTTAAATGATTAATGTTTTCCACTTCACATGTTTCAGGGAGCTGCAGTCCAAGAACACTTGGGTTACCCTAGGTTGGGAACCACTGCCATAGATTCATCTTCTCATGGGTGATGGTTGCAGTTGTGAGTAAACATAGCATGACACAGTGTACAGAAAACTGAAATCTGTTTGCAGAACTGCTTGCCAACAGTAAACAAAAAGCAATGAAACCACAAGGCCTGCTGATGATAGGATTTTTTTTACAGGTCACTTATTCATGGCATCACCCAAGTCAGAAGCTGCTTGTAAGTAGATAACATGTCATGGGGGGTGAGGTGGTGAGAGGAATCCAGCTGGGGGTGGTCCTGGCAAGGTTGACAAGGGGGCATTTGGAATTTGGTGAAAATGAGCACAGCATGAGACGAAAAGCCACACAACTTTATTAAAGAGACAAAAGACAGTAGAAAAAAAGCACAAGCAGTAAAATAATAAAAAAGAAACTACATGCTCCTTCTGCGCACTAGGAGTCCCTGAAGAATGGCGGCAGGCAATCCCAGGAGGAGACCTGTTGCACGTTGCCCCTCTGGAGTCTGGTTTCTGCTGAAGTTCACCAATGGCCCAAGTCTCTAGCCCTCATCTCCCTTTCCGGGCAGTGCCCCTGTTCATCCATAGCCAACTTCTCAGATATTTATATTCTAATAATTGGCAAATTGGAGGAGAGGTTTGTGGGTACTGTGGACTGCCAAAAAGACAAACAAATGAGTCCTAAATAAAATATTTGAACTTTCTCTGGAAGCAACTCCACACTAACAAAACATCACACTAACAAGGAAACTGATAACAAAACTAGACATCAAAGTATGACAGTGTTCATCATTAAAGTACAGTGGTGCCTCGCTTAACGGGCGCCCCGTTTAATGATGAATCCGCATAGCGATGATTTCTTGCGATCATTTTTGCGATCGCATTGTGATGCTTTAAATGGTAAAAAATCGCTTTGCGGTGATCAGTATGCTGTTTCACATACCAATCATTGCATAGCGATGATTTCCCAACAGCTGATCGGCGGTTTCAAAATGGCCGCTGGGTAAAAAAAAAAGGCTGCCCGCTGTGTTTTCGCCCGGATTCCTAGCTTACCGGACAGCGAAAATGGCCACCGTATGGAGGATTTTCGCTTAAAGGTGAGTTTTTTGCCCATAGGAACACATTAAACGGGTTTTAATGCATTCCTATGGGCTTTTAAAATCCGCATAGTGACGAAATCGCTTTGCAGCGATTTTTGCTGCACGGATTATCGTCGCTATGCGGGGCACCACTGTATAACACATGTCCAATCTTGATACACCTTATCATTTATGAATGTATCATCCCGGAATATCTGGGGTAAGCAATTTGAACATCTTCCTCTAGTAACTTCTGTTAACGCTAACATCCTGCCAGTGTTCAGCAGTCACTTAGGCATTCATGCCATCTTAATCACTTGGCACAGAGAGGAATATTGCTTCCTACCACATTAGACCTCCTTACTATTTATCCACGTGGGTACTATAGGGGGCTGGTCCACCTGTATAAATTCAGTGGGACTTGCATCTCATTACAATCTTTAAGATACAGTACAAGCTTGTGGATAATTCTACTTTTGTAAAATGGAAACAAGTACAGAGGGGATGACCATGTGATTAGCACTACTGTATCCTTACTATCTATTGAATATGAATATGATTCACCACATCACCCACACATTTGCATGCCCAGATTCACTCTCCAGGGTGGCCTGCTGACTGGAGGACAGGACCTAAGATTCTGGGAGTGGGGGAAAGAGACAAGTTGTCATCCTCTTTCTGGGACCTGTTTGGAGCTTCTGCCAATTAGCTGTATCAGTATTTCTCCATAATATAAACTAGATTTCATTTGGGTGTTTTTTTGAAACAACACTCTGCCATCATCTGTATGCTCAACTGTGCCACCAGTATGCTTGCACAGTTTCTGGACATTCACTATTTCTCTGGCATGTAAGCAGGGCGAACAATGCGACCTTGATGAGTTCTGAGCAGATCTGCCTCTGCTATACCAATGAATAGATTGCACCCCCATTACCTTTCGGAATTAGGTTCTCCTGAATGTTGCGAGCCCATTCTCATCTCCAAAAACTTATACCAAGATGCAATTCAAAATGAATCTTTAGAATAAAAAAAAAGCCCCACAAAGTGGAAAAATAAGAATCCTGTTGGATTTTATGAGGCACTGAAGGGCAGCCACACAGGCAGGTTTCACATGTTGCCGGCTCTCAAACCCTCAGTCAGTCATGCAATCAATTGCGGAAGTGACTGGACATGTATTGTAACATGCAGTGGACACGCATAAAACCGAATACACCACCCGTGCAATTGTCTTTCATCCAATTGCCCTTTACAAAAGGAAATTGTCCAAAAGGATTCAGACCCTAACCATGGGCTTTTCTGGAGTTGAAGGCCAAAATAACATTAACTGTGGGTCTTGATGATGGCAATTTTAATTGTATTTTAATCGTATTTTAATTGTATTTTAATCATTTTATATTTTATTGTATTGAATTTTAATTGTTTTAAGCCGCCC